TCTGGATGCTCCCCTGCCGACATCAAAGCCCTTTGTCGGCAGCCCCGTTATTCCTCGTGGGATGAGGTTTACCGGGGCTGCCGACAAAGGGCTTTGATGGCGGCAGGGGAGCGTCCAGACTAGCACGCTGAGCTGACAAACAGCTGATGAGCTGTTTGTTGGCTCAGCGCGGCAGCCATGTAAATTTAAATGAAGCGGCGATTATTTAAATCGCCGCTTCATTTCCCTTTGCCCAATAAACAAATCTACATGGCTCCGTCGACGGAGCCATGTAGTGTAGACGTACCCTTACAGAAAAAAAAACAAGAAATGGTCTGGTAGCACTTTATAGACTAACAAAACATGTAGATGGTATCATGAGCGTTCGTGGGCACAGCCCACTTCTTCAGATGACCGGCGTATGAGTAGGGGATATGAAAACTAGACAAGCCAGATCCACAGGGAAGCACTCGAATCACACTTCATACACAAATTCAATTCACATGCTAAAGGACTTAATCACAGTATGCGTTGGCTAGGACATTATCTACTTCATAACCACTGAAGGTGCTAACAGCTCTGTGAATAGTATCCTTCCTGTCTCAGCATCTATCTATTTACTTTGATCAGCTTAGGTTTAAGTACCCGTTCTTCAGATAGTTAATGATGCCCTGTCTCAAACTCTTCTTTCTTTCTTTCTTTCTTTCTTTCTTTCTTTCTTTCTTTCTTTCTTTCTTTCTTTCTTTCTTTCTTTCTTTCTTTCTTTCTTTCTTTCTTTTTCTTTTTCTCCCTCCCCACCCTCCCTCTTCTATTTATTTCGAGTTTTCATATCCCCTACTCATACTCCTATCATCTGAAGAAGTGGGCTGTGCCCACGAAAGCTCATGATACCATCTACATGTTTTGTTAGTCTATAAAGTGCTACCAGAGTATTTGTGGTTTTCTTCTTGTTCTGGAGACAGTCTAAAGTAAGAGAATATCTCTTTGCTTTCCAAAAACGCAGGTGTCTTTCTAGAGTCTCAGGAAATCTCTTTAGCAGCAAATGTGGGAATTAAAGTTCTGCCAGCTCACAAGCTGACAGGGCTTTTTATCAGCGTGGAAAAACATACTTAAATAGTCCTACATGTTCTGAGGGTGACAAAATCCAGTGCGATGAAAGTATGGCATGATTCAGACATTTGTGTTTGATGAGTTTAACTTCATGGCAACTATTTTCCCTCTCAGCTGTTTATATCAACATCTATAAACACATACAAAGGGTCTACTCATGCCTATTATGCACATGCCCATATGCAAATCATGCACACAGCTTGCAAGCAGCAAATGCCACTCTATCAGAGGAGACCTAAATTACTTTTAAAATAAGGCCTCAGTAGTTTTTACTGTAAAATATAACAGTGTTTCACTTTGATTCCTGGGCAAGTCCTCCCATGAAAGATGTCCATATGTCTGAATGCCACACTCCAGTAACTCCCCCACCCACAGACACACATGCACACTGAGGCTACATCTACATTTGAGCTGGGAGGTGTGATTCTCATCTTCCATACAGGTATCCACTCTAGCTCTGCTTAAGCTATTGCACAACAATAATAGAGTAACTGGGGTAACACAAGCAGCTGCTTGAGTATTTCCGCACCCAAACCTACAGAATGAATACTTGGGTGGCTCTCCCAACCAGCTACTTTGGCTACACTGATATTTTTAGTGATCTATCTCAAGCAGGGCTAGCATAGGTATATCTGTGCAAATGGGAACCACACCTTTTGCTTCAAATGTGGACTTAGCCTAAAGGTCCCATTTTCAAGCACCCACAGTCTGGGTAGGATTTTCAAAAAAGCTCAGCTCCCATTTAGATACCTAAATAAGGGCTAGAATTTCAGAAGGGTACTCGGAGTAACACCAATGGACAGATTTTTCCAAAGAGCTCTGCCTATAACATGCACCCAAGATGCTGAGATCCCTTGAAAATTTGGCCTGATTGCAGAGGTAAAGTTCATTTGTGGATCTGTGTGCACAGTTTTTATGTCATCTGTTCTATATCCGTCTTTCCTTTTGGTCTTTAGATTTTACTAAATATGAAATCAGCCTTCAATCCCCTCCTATCCAAAAAGCCTCCAGCACTCAATGAGACGTTCACACAATGAAGGCTATGAAACAAAGCAGACAACAAAAAATCACGTTCTGGTACCAGAATAAAAGTCTTTCAAGATAAATGTGGGAAGAAGGTATTCTATTGTCCCAGACCTTTTATTAAAGGGTTCGTGTTTGGTTTGGTTTGAGATTTGGGCTGAGAATAAGGGTAAATTGTCTTTTCCAAAATGTTTCAACCAACCTTCCATTGTGTATCTAGATGGTGCTGGGACCTGAATTTGGCCCTGAATCTTCATGGTCTGTTTTTTTAAAGCAATTAAATTCCCTTCTGTTATGAGAAATGTTGGACAGCAGAAATCACCCTTCAGTGTTGCAGAGGTACAATAATTCATAAGCATTTAAAATGACAGTACTTTTTCCCACTCTCACCCGCCTTTTAATGCAGTGCTGATTTTCAGGGCTACATTTTAGACTGAGGAAAATATTGACTAAGTGTTGTGTCCAGTTCTGGGGCCCCCACTATAGAAAGGATGTGGCTGCGTTGGAGAGAGTCCAGTGGAGGGCAACCAAAATGATTAGGGGGCTGGAGCACATGACCTACAAGGAGAGGCTGAGGGATTTGGGTTTATTTAATTTGCGGAAGAGAAGAGTGGGGGTGGGGGAGGTAGGGAGGATTTGATAGCAGCCTTCCACTTCCTGAAGGAAGGTTCCAAATGTTTCACCTTGGTTCGGTGATGTGGTGGAAGCCTCAAGGGTTAAAGCCAATTACCCAGTGAAAACTACTGGATGATGGTATAAAACAAATGATCTTTATTAAGTGGAATGATTCTTTTATCAAAACCAACAATTAGAAAATGGTTTTTTTAGCTAACAATTGCCCAATGCTTTTGCAGGGTAGAAAACTTGAACACACCTAACTGATTACAATTCCTAGATTACAATTTACTTATATTAAATCACTATTCCTAATTCGCTTAACGCAGCGCAGCATACAAATGAAAAATACAAAAAACAAAGCTAAAATAATAACAATAAAAAAGGCTACCCACAGTTAATCCTTCCAATGTTACTTTAGGACAGCAGGCGGAGTTAGTCATTGATTTTTGCTGTTACAGGTTAACAAGTCCTGGGTTTTTCTTCTAACACTTGTACCTAGACTAAAACATAATACTATCACTCAACACAAAATTACACTATCTATACAATGCAACTTGCTTATACCTCACAAGATTACAAGATATGATTAATACAACTTAACTACTGACTAAGCTAACAATTGATAGATTTAAGTAATACTTACAAATCCAGCAATGATAACAACATGAAGACACACAAAAACTCGGAGCATGCTCAGGACTCGCGCACCCCTATCTTTGACTCGAAGGGTGGGGAAGGCAGCCTCAGGGTGATCAATCCTTCAGCTGGGCAAAAAAAACACGTGCCCTCAATACACGGAACCTCCGTCGAACAAAGGGGTGGAGGGTCTTTTATAACATAACCTGATATCCGGTACCTTATTAGGGTCAGTTCCCTGGCCGGACCTGATAGGCTGGTAATGAGGTAACGTGAAATACTGCCCTATAAGATTTTTCATGATGCCTGCCTGATAGCCACATGGACAGTGCTGGGTGTGGGCATGGTCAGTATGCATGGCAGTTGCGTGTTATCTCCCTATGCCTACCTCCCTGCCTTCAAGGACTGGTCAAGAGAGTCTTATTTATCTCTTGCAGCTGTGTTCTATTTTTTCATGCTCACCTCCCTGTTCTATGATGCTTACAAGGCCAAAGTCCGTTTTACAGAAAGCTGCATTGTGCTTCCCATGCTTCTCTGAGTATCTCACAGTCTGGGTTATCTGTGAGGGGCCTTGTGTGGCAGGATGGGCTATAGGCGAAGGCCATGGACAGAAAAAGCCTGCTTTACAACACCAAAAAGGATGGAGAGCAGCTGTTCTCAGTAGTGAGGGATGGCAGAACAAGGAGCAGTGGTCTCAAATTACAGTGGGGGAGGTCTAGCTTGGATATTAGGAAAAACTATGTTACTAGGAAGGTAATGAAGCACTGGAATGGGTTACCTGAGGAAGTGGTGGAATCTCCATCCCTAGAGGTTTTTAAGTCCTGGCTTGACAAAGCCCTGGCTGGGATGATTTAGTTGGGGTTGGTCCTGCTTTGGGCAGGGGAGTGGATTTGATGACCTCTTGAGGTCTCTTTCAGCCCTAGGATTCTATGATTCTATGTTGTCAGTAACATTATCATGTAATTAAATCACAAATCACATTTCAAACAAACTGTTTCTTTAAAAACTTAAAAAACAACAAATAGGCTAGTAGCACTTTAAAGACTAACATATGATGGTATCATGAACTTTCATGGATACAACCTTCTGGTTAACAGAAAAATGACTACAGAAGCAAGGCTTGCCTCAAGTAGTATTTGAGTATTGTCTGTTGATTCCTAGTTGGTGTTCGTTGGTATTTTCATTTTTAAAAATCTGATTTTGATTACATTGAAATCAATAGAGATACTAATGTAAAATAGGGGCAAGTGAGATCAGAAGCAGGCCTACTACATTATACCCATTCTCTAATTTACGGCACAAAAGCCTTCCGAGAATGCCTCATGGCAGTGCTTATAAGCTCGAACTTTCTTTAAATATATATTCTCTGCTCTAATAAACTTAACCTACTAGAG